GTGGCCTGGACAAAGCTCAGAAGGACCTGTGGCCTGAGACACCATTTCCCACACCCTGGGACGAGAACTTATTATAATAAAAAGCTGCTAAAAATAAAACAAAACAAAACAAAAATAAAAATGAGTAAGCAAAGGAGAAAGAACCCAACCACAGCTACGATGGGGATAGGGAAGATCTGGACTTATATTACTTGTGGACTCTTAGAGGGTTGGGCAGAATAAGGAATAGGAAGATATGGAGAAACGGTAAGGGTGAGAGCCTTTAAAAGGGTATAGATGAAGGAGATAGTGGTCAGAAGTAAACTAGAGGAGAGGTAGGATAAAAAGAGAGGCTGAGAAGGACAATAGTGAGGAAAAATAGGATGGAAGGAAATACAAAAATAGTAATTATAATTTTGAATGTGAATGGGATAAACTCACCCATAAAACAGAAATGGATAGCAGAATGGATTAAAAATCAGAATCTGACAATATGTTGCTTACAAAAAACACATTTTTTTAAAAAAAACGAGAGATACACATTAAGTTAGAATAAAGAACTGGAACAGAATTTATTATGCTTCAGCCAATACAAAAAAAGAAGGGGTAGCAATCATGATCTCAGACATAAAGCTAAAATAGATTTAATTAAAAGAGATAAACACAGAAACTACATTGTGATAAAAGGTACCATAAACAATGAAACAATATTAATACTAAACCTAAATGCACCAAATGCTATCGCATCTAAATTTTTAAAGGCAAGCTAACTGAATTACAGGTAGAAATAGATAGTAGTACTATAATAATGAGGGATTTTATTTTCCCCTCTCAGAACTAGATAAATCTAACCAAAAAATAAAGAAGAAAGAAGTCAAGGAAGTGAATAGAATTTTAGATAAGCTAGATATGTTAGATATCTGGAGAGAACTGAATGGGAATAGAAAGGAATACACCTTTTTTCTTGCAGTACATGGTATCTTTGCAAAGACTGACCACATAGTAAGGCATAAAAATTTTATAGCTAAAATCAAAAAAGCAGAAATATTAACTGCTTCCTTTTCAGACCACAATGCAATAAAAATTATTTTTTTTGTTTTTGGTTTTTTTTTTTAGGCAATTGGTGTTAAGTGACTTGCCCAGGGTCACACAGCTAGTAAGTGTCAAGTGTTTGGTCTGAGGCCGCATTTGAACTCAGTCCTTCTGACTTCAGGGCCGGTGCCCTACCCACTGTGCCACCTAGCTGCCCCAAAAATTACATTTAATAAGAGACCATGGAAATACAGGAAAAAAAAAAACCAATTGGAGACTAAACAATCTAATCTTAAAGAATGAGTGGGTTAAAGGACAAATAATAGAAATAATCAATAATTTCATTAAAGAGAACGACAATAATGAGACAACATATCAAAACCTATGGGATATAGCAAAAGTAGCAATCAGAGGAGAATTTATATCTCAAAGCGCTTACATCAATAAAATAGAGAAAGAGCGGACAAATGTACTGGGTATACAATTAAAAAAACTAGACAAAGAACAAATTAGAAATGCCCTTAATTATTAAACACTAAATTGGAAATCCTAAAAATTAAAAGTAAAATTAATAAAATTGAGTATAAGAAAACCACTGAAATAATGAACAAAACTAGTTATTATGAAAAAACAATAAAACAGATAAACCAATGGTTAATGTGATTAAAAAAACTGAAAGAAAACCAAATCACTGGAATTAAAAATGAAAAGGGTGAATATACTACCAATGAAGATGAAATCAAAGCAATTATAAGGAGTTATTTTGCCCAATTATATGCCAATGAATTCAACAATTTAATTGAAAAGAAAGAATATTTACAAAAATATAAATGCCTGGATTAGCAGAAAAGGAAACAGAATATCTAAGTAAACCTATTTTAGAAAAAGAAAGTGAACAGTCCATAAATAAGTTTCCTAAGAAAAAAGCCCCAGGACTGGATTCACTTACAAGTGAATTCTATCAAACATTTAAAGACAAATTCTAATATTAAGTAAGTTATCTGGAATAATAGGTAAAGAAGGGTCCTACCAAACTCCTTTTATGAAACAAATGTGATACTGATACCTAAACCAGGAAGAGTAAAAATAGAGAAAGAAAATTATAGACCAATTTCATTCATGAATATGGATGCAAAAATCCTAAATAAAATACTAGCTAAAAGACTGCAACAACATATTACAAAGATTATACAATTATGACCAAATGGGATTTATACCAGGAATGTAAGAATGGTTTAACATAAGGAAAACTATTAATGTAATTGATTAATCAATAATAAAAGTAACAAAAATCATATGATTATATCAATAGATGCAAGAAATGCATTTGATAAAGTACAAAACTCATTTCTATTACAAAACACTTGAAAGTCTAAGTATAAATGGACTTTTCCTTAAATCGATAAGACACATTTGACTAAAACCATCAGCAAACATTATTTGAAATAGAGATAAGCTAGAAGCTTTCCCAGTAAGATCAGGTGTGAAATAAGGATACCCACTGTCACCAATATTATTCAATATTGTATTGGAAATCCTAGCAATAGCAATAAGAGAAGAAAAAGAAACAGAAGGAATCAGAATGGGCAATGAGGTAATAAAACTATCTCTTTGGCAGATGATACGACGATATACTTGGAAAATCCTAAAGACTCAACTAAAAAATTAATAGAAATAATAATTTTAGCAAAGTAGCAGGATATAAAGTAAATCCACATAAATCATCAGCATTCCTAATCACCAACAGGATCCTGCAGGAACAGATAGCTAGAGCTACCCCATTTAAAATCACTCTAGACAGTATAAAATACACCTGTAAAACAAACCCAGGAACTATATGAACAAAATCATAAAAAAAAAAACTTTTTATACAAATAAAATAAGATTTAAATAGAGAAATATTAATTGCCCATGGATAGGCAGGGCCAATATAATAAAAATGACAATTTTTCCTAAATTAATCTATATATATTCAATGCCATCCCAATTGAATTACCAAAAATTTATTTTACTGAACAAGAAAAAATAATAACAAAATTCATTTGGAAGAACAAAAGGTCAAGAATATCAAAGGAATTAATGAAAAAAATGTAAAGGAAGGAGGTTTAGCAGTACCAGATCTTAAACTAATAAAGCAATAATTATCAAAACTATCTGGTACTGGCTAAGAAAATGAAAGGTAAATCAGAGGAGACATATAATTTACAGCAGCAAATGAATATAGTAACCTAGTGTTTGACAAGTGTAAAGACAAGTTTTCAGGACAATTCCTTATTTGGTAAAAATTTGGAAAGCTAAAAAGAAGTCTAGCAGAAAGTGGGCATAGAATAATATCTTACACCATTTACCACGATAAGGTCAAAATGGATATATGACCTAGACATAAAGGCAGATATTACCAAAAAATTTAGAAGAACACAGAACATATTACCTATCAGACTTGTGGATAGGCGAACAATTTGTGAACAAACAAAAGACAGAGAGCGCTGTAAGGTGTAAAATGGGTAATTTTGATTACATCAAATTAAAAAGCTTTTGTATAAATAAAACCAATGCAGTCAAGATCAGAATGAAAGAAAAAAACTGGACAAAAAAATTTTAGATGGTTCTTCAGATAAAGATCTCATATCTCAAATATATAAAGAACTTTGTAAAATCTATAAGAACACAAGTCAATCCCCAACTGACAATGGTCACAGGATATGAACAGGCAGGTTTCTGATGAAGAAATTAAAATAATGTATAGTCACATGAAAAAATGCTCTAAATCATTATTGATTAGAGAAATGCAAATTAAAACAACTTTGAGATATCATTTTACAAGTGTAAGACTGGCTAAAATGACAGAAGGGGAAAGCAACAAATGTTGGGGAGGATGTGGAAAAATTGGGACCTTAATTCATTGTTGGTGGATCTGTGAGCTGATCCAACCATTTTGGAGAGAGATCTAGGATTATGGCCAAAGAGTTATTAAACTACTTATACCTTTGACCCAGCAATACCACTATTAGGTCTGTTTCCCAAGATGATTTACGAAAAAGTAAAAGAACCTATATGTTCTAAAATATTTACAGCAGCTCTCTTTGTGGTGACAAAGAACTGGAAATTATGGGGATGCCTGTCAACTGGGGAATGGTTAAACAAGTTGCAGTATATGTTCATGATGAAATACTACTCTGTTATGGAGAAATGATGAGCTTGATGATTTTAGAAAAACATGGAAAGACTTGCATGAAATAATGAATAGCAAAATGAGCAGAACCAAGAGAACACTGCATACAGTGATAGCAGTATTGTTTTAAGAACAATTTTGAGCAACCAGGTCATTCTGACTATTATAAATACCCAAATCAACTACAAAGGTCCCATGAAGATGCTTTTTGCATCCAGACAAAGAAGTGACATATGTACACATATATATGCATATACATATACATATGTGTGTGTGTGTGTGTGTGTGTGTGTGTGTGTGTGTTAGTGTCTAATGGTAGCCATCTCTGGGCAGGAGGGAAAAAACAAAAAGAAAGTTATATGATAACTTGTATATTTAAAAGGAATAGCAAGTTATACATAATAGTTCTGTAGTTTCAGGTATAGTCATCTTTTTTTATGGAAACAATTTTATTTCTTAAGTTCAGAATAAAAAAAAAGCTTTTAAATTTCTTAAGACTAGACAGTTTACCAGCTATTTATTACAATAACTGATACTATAAATTTTTTTATTCATTTTTTAAGAACAATTAAAATAACTATTAATTCCTCTGGTGCCTTTTCGTATTTTACAATTTTATCAGATGCTTCCTGAGAAAATGTCATTATCCCCAATCCAATGCATATTCAACATCCTCAGAAACAAAAGTGCTTTGTTTTCGCCAGGTACCAGGTAGCCCTTTGTGGGCTTTGTACCATTCCTTATATCATTTAAATTAAATAAATCTTCTGTACCTTCCCCAATCTACACAACACAGGCTGGTCAAATGCTGCCTTACCAGAAACTGATGGACACAGGGCAAAAGGACTAGATCAGCAAGGGTGAAATAGAGCCCTTCTGCAAAGAGATGGTCCAGAGGTGGCAGATCCAAGGTTTGCATTTTCCTGATGTGCACAGGCTCCCGAGGGGTCTCAGCAGGGGCTTCCTGGACTCTGAGCCTGGATAATGCCACCCTGAGCTCTAGGTTCTCTGTGGGAGGCTTGGCACTTTCTCCGAGCGCTCCTTGGTGCCCAGAGCCAGGACTCTGCCTAGGTACTTCCACCTCCTGCTGCTGCTTCAGCTTTTGCCTACGGATTTTGTCATCATTGTGCACTCTCACAGGCTCCCTGAGCTTCTTCTCCAGCTGCAGCATCTCCTCTGGGATAGGGGACTGGGGCTTGAGAGGCTCACTTAGGAATCTCTCCACAGCCAGCGGGATGCTGAGCTCACAGAGTCTGGTCCACTGGCTCACCTACAAGAAAAGAAACTAGATGATAATAGGACCATAAGATGAATCTTTACTGGAAACTGAGTGAGATCTGCACAGGATTTTAAAGAGTGGCGAAGACTCATACCTCACAGTCCTGCACACATCCTGCATTCCTAAAGCATGAGGCCATTAGAAAGCAACAGATGAAAGACTTTGCCTTCATGAGTTCCTGCCTCTCTCCAGATTCTTTAAAAGGGGAAAAAGTCACTCCATATTCAGTGTTTACTGATCACCATTAACTATATCCACAGAAGTGATCTTAGAACTACCCAAAATTTAAAAAGATTGTTAAAAAACATCTGTTAATGACCAAATGCCTAAAGCCTCAAGGAGAAAAAAATCCCAACCCAGGTAATTTGCCACCATTTGCACAGAAACACTACAGGCCAGGAATTAACCCATTTTCTATGAACTCTTTAAATATGGAGTAAACCAGAAGTATAGAATATATAAACATGTAGGTATACACACATACACATATATACACACACATATATGTATGTTATAGTTATGAGAAAAGTAGATGGCTCAGAGAATAGTGTTGGATTTAAAGACCTGAGTTCAAATCCTGTCTCAAACACTCACTGCATAATGGTGAGCAAGTCACTTAACCTTTCTCAGCCTTAGTTTCCTCATCTGTAAAATGGGGATAACAATAGCAACCTACTTCCCAGGGTTGTCGTGAGGCTCAAATGAGGTAATGTGTAAAGTACTTTGTAAGCCTCAAACTACTGTAAAAATGCTAGCTAGCTATTATTACACAGCAGCACAGCACAGTGGATAACGTAATGGACTTGGAGTCAGGACAACCTGGGTCTAAATCCTGTCTCTCATATTTACAAGGTGCATGACACCAGACAAGTCACTTAACCTCTCTTAGTTGCACTTTCCTTATCTGTAAAATGGTGATAATACCTGTATTACCTAACTCAAAGGATTGTTGTGAGTCTACAATGAGAAACATAAATGAAGAGCTTTGCAAACTGTAAAGCACTATACAATAATCAATGAAACCACAAGCATTTACTAAACACATAGTAGGTGCCAATGAGTGAGAATACAAAGACAAAAATGACAGACTCCCTGCCCACAAGAAGCTTGTATTCTATGAGAGGAGACATGCACTATATGGCGAGTAGGGTATGTTCAGGGAAGACTAGTACCTCTGGTGTGAGGGCTGCCAAGCCCTTTTTAGGGCTGCTCTCCACCTGTGCTGTCCACCTGATCCACCCAACTCTCACCTGTGGCTCCAAGAAGCTTTACCAGGCACAGTGGCCACACCCCAGTGAACCCTTTTGGCAGATGGGCTAACCCAGGTTGAGGGTAACCAAGCAGTCTCAAACCTTTTGGTGAGTTAGGGAGGTGTCTACCCCAAGTATATGAAGACTTCCCCTGTGGAATGGGTGGATGAGAACAATTGGTTCCAATGGCCATGAAGGCAGGTGCTGTGGAGCCTGGTTAGACATCAAAGATGCCAAGGTCATCCACTGCATCCTGAGCCATCACCTGTCGTCTTGACTGTCCTGCCACTGGACTAAGACAACTCGGTGAGTCTGACAACTTCATGCAACTCTGCCTCACTTTAATTTATTCACAAATCAAAAGACATAATCCATACCATTTTACCAATCTCAAAGTCCTGTGGCAACAGACAAGTAACAAAGCAGCAGGTACAGATTCACTGGAAGCTGTAGTCACAACCCAGACCATAGGGTCATCTGCCCACTGGAAGCAGCAGCCGGATTCAGAAGTTCCCTGGGTGTCTTAGCAGCCTTTTAAGGACCTCACTGCTCACGTCCTGGTATGAAGAAGGGGCTAGACAAGCTGCCCTAAAATCCGTCCAAATTATCCAACCCTGGCCTGTTTACCGCCCTGCAGTTGAAACACCAAAAAATGTACAAAAATTTCTGCAAAGATGATTCCACTCACCAGTGGTACATGGAATGTGCACACACTTATGGACAACATGAAATACAGCAGACCTAAAAGATGAACAGTTCTTGTTGCAGGGATCATATCCAAATAGCAGCCCTGAGTGAAACAAGGCTGGCAAATGAAGGCCAGCTTACTGAAGGCACAGCAGCACACGCGTTTTTCTGTAGATTTTGCAATCAAAACCCATGTAGTCAAGAAGCTTGTATGCCTACCAAAAGGAGTGAGTGACAGGCTCATGAATGCAATTGCCACTTGCAGGAAAGTACCATGCCACCATCATCAATGCCTATGCTTCCACTGTGATGAACCTTGACGAGGTCAAAGAAAAAGTTTATGGAGATCTGGAGATCTCATCATCGATGTTCTATAAGAGGTGACTTTAATGCAAGAGTAGGCACAGACTACTAGATGTGGCAAGGACTGCCTGTGAGGAATGGAGTTGGAAACAGTAATAGCAATGGTCACTTGCTACTGAAGACTTGTGCATCTCATACTTTCTCATCACCAACACTGTCTTCCACTTACCTAAATGCAATGAAATTTCATGGATGTACCCTCACAGAAAACACTGATATTTAATACACTATGTCACTATAAGGAGAAGAGACAGACAGGATATGAGAGAGATGAAGGCAATGTGTAGTGCAGAGTGCTGGATGAATGCTAGATATCCACATTCAACAAAAGTGGCACCAAGGCAAGATGTCATCGTCACCAAATTAGAGCACTTTGAGCAGAAACAATTCATTGCTAACTTGGACAGAAAGCTGAGCCAACACACACTTGGCAACAGTGCAGCAGAAAAAGACTGCACAGCTTTCAGAGATTCGGTGTACAACACTGCATTTTCTCATCTAGGTCAGAACACTCTCAAACATCAAGATTGGTTTGACAAAAATGATAGGGAAATCCAGAAACTGCTAAATGAAAAACAAGAATTCCACAGTTTGCCAGCAGAATAATTCATCCCTCTCTAAGAAGGCAGCATTTAACTTCATCAAAAATAAAGTACAAGTGAAGCTTAGAGAGAGGCAGGATGCTTGGCTCAATTAAGAAGGCAAATGAAAATCAGTTTTATGCTGATAGTAACAATTCAAAGCATTTTTATGATGCCCTGAAGGTTATTTATGGGCCAAAGACCTATGGTGTGTCTCAACTACTCAGTCCTGATAGAACCACATTGATTAGTAATAAAGACATGATCCTGGAGAGATGGGCCGAACACTTCCGTAGTGTTCTCAACACTCAATGCTGATGCCACTGACCATTTACTTCAGGTTGAAGTCAAGCCTTCTCTAGCCAAATTTCCAACTGAAGAAGAGGTTTTGAAAGCCATTAGGACTCCTCTCCTGTGGCAAAGCACCTGGTGTTGATTCTATTCCAACTGAGATTTACAAGGTGAAGAGTCCACTGCTCATACAAAAGCTGACTGAAATTTTTTGGGTTACATGGCAAGAGGAGGTTTTCCCCCAGGAGTTCAAGGATGACTCCATTGTCCACCTCTATAAAGGTAAAGGAAATAGAGGTGTCTCTCTCTTAGTCAATGCTGGCAAGATTCTTGCCAGACCCCTCCTTGATAGATTAATCCTTCACGTGGAAGGTGGTCATCTACCTGAGAGCCAGTATGGATTTGGAAAGGGCCCAGGAATGGTCAATATGGTACTTGCTGCCCAACAACTCCAGGAGAAATGCCAGGAGCAGAACAGGTCTGTACACAACATTCATTGATCTGGCCAAAGCCTTTGATGCTGTCAGTCATGAGGGCTTATGGAAGATTATGTCAAAACTTGATTGCCCATAGAAGTTCATCACTACTGTATGTCAATTTTATGACACCTTGCTTGTCTGGGGTTCTGGATAATGAATGATGCTCTTGCACCTTTCCAGTCACCAATGGAGTGAAGCAAGGCTGTGTGCTTACTCCCATGCTTTTTACCATGATGTTTTCAGCCATGTTGTCAAATGCCAGGAAACTGAATCACTTCCATGTGAATTATCAGATTCTGAAGATCACCTAGCAAGGTAAGGTACTGGACATTAAGGTCCTTTCTTGAATAAAACTGCCAAGCATTTACACTCTACCGCAGAGAGCGCAACTCTGATGGGCGGTCCACATTATTCAAATGCTAAATGTATACTTGCCTAAAAGACTATTTTACAGAGAACTCATACAAGGCAAACATTCACATGGTGGTCAGAAGAAGCCACACAAGGACACTCTCAAGGTCTTTCTGAACTACTTTGGAATTGATTGCATGACACAGGAGTCCCTGGCTAAGGACCCACTCAGAGTGGCATAACCACATCTAAGAAGGTGCTGTGCTCTATGAGCAAAGAACTAAAGAAATAGCTCAAAAATGCAAGATGAAGAAATTTAGAGAATCTACCCCAAATGTTCACATGGACTATGTGTGCCTGACCTGTAGAAGAGCACTTTGAGCTCATATTCATCTGATCAGCCATAACATAGTGATGTCATTTTGGTCCTCTTCAAGACTGAAGGACACCAAGCAACCAACCAACTACACTACATACCACATAACAGATATAACTAAAGATCAGGTGGATACATGGGCATTTAAGGGTGGGGGGGGGGGGGGGAGAGATCCAGAGCAGTTTCATTCAGGAGATGGGGCTTAAGCAGATGACTGGAGGAAGCCAGGCATCTTAGAAGCAGAGTTGAGGAAGGAGAGCACTCCAGGTAAAGGGGGAAAATGGAAGACGAACTGTTGTATCTGAGGAACAGCAAGAAGGCCAGTTTTTGGCTGACTGCACAATACAGGGAGAGTCATTCATAATAAATCTAGAAAGGTAAGTTGGGACCAGGTTGTTAAGCGGCTCATTTTGTGGTATGAATATAGACTTTATTTTTAAGTAATAGTAGAAGAAAAAAATAAATTATGTACTCACTTCAGCACAAGCTTTTAAACAGGTCTTCTTAAAACCCAGCAGCTCCAAAACTTCCTTCTTCGATGTATCTGCTTCATATGTTTTCTGGATTATGTGTCTTAATGTGACAGAGAGTCCTGCCCGACAGAAATTATCAGCTTTCTTTACTGCCACAGGTAAACAGCAGCTCTGGACCATTACTGGCAGCTCCTGCCTTGAGACGATCTGAACTTCCAGATCCTGGGGAAGTACAGTGTGTAAAAGAGCAACATCTGCATTCTCTTTGCTGGAGACTAAGAAAACTCTCAAGTCTTTGCAGTCACAGTAAGACAACAGAAACAAGGTTATAGATGTATGCAGGGGGAAGATACAATTCTCCATCTGATGAGAAAATTCCAAATAAAGGTGTTCTTCTGCAAAGCTTTTCCCACTGCCTTTCATCTTCCTTCCTGAACTGGATCTGAAAAGGAAATCAGAGTAATTAAAGTAAGCCTTAGGACACAAAAATTTAAAGGTAAAAGTGTAGACATCTTTTTTAAAAGCTTACTCCAAAAACACAGGGAAGGAACTAATTGGACAGACAAGCTTTCCTATTATCTTGCCAGGGCCCAGACCTCCACAACACGCTTAAATACCAAGTCCCTCCCCAACTTTCAGTTCCCCTTATATGCTGTCTTCTCCTATTAGAATGTAAGAGCAGTGGGGGAGGTGGGGGAAAGGGGGACGGCAGAGCCAAGATGGTGGAGTGAAGTCATTATTTTTGCCCAGCTCTCCCAACATACCCCTCTATAAAAAAAAACATTAAAAAGCACATCAAACTGAATTGAGTGGGAAAACCAACAAAAAGTCAGTCAGCCCATGGCAGCTTAAGACGACAGATAAAGAGGTCTGAGTACTCTATGGTTGGGGCTGGCTGGGAGCTTGGCATGGTGGCAGTAGCACTGGCTACCGGCAATGGGGCAGCACCCAGGAACAGTAAGGAGGCTGAATACCTGATCAGAAGGAGATCTCAAGGGTCCCTTTACAAGCATTGCAAACAGGATCAGTGACATTTGGCAGCTCTATGATCTAGATCTGGGTCATAGTTCCAAGGTAGAGAGGAATAGTCACAGTCACAAGGGAACACAGCCCCTACCTGTGTAAGGACCAGAGTGCAGACCAGGAATAAAATGGACAGCGACCAGACCTCTCCACAGATCATACCACTTTGAAAACACCAAAAACCCCACAGATCCCCAGACTATAATAGTTCAGGCCCATCATTCCTCCCTCCAGAGGTGAGCAAAGCCCAACTCAAATATAAAGTTCAAAGTCAAGAAATAATCTGGAAAGTGAGTAAACAACAACAAAGAATCTGACCATTAAAAACTATCGTGACGGGGAAGTTCAAGACACAAACTCAGAATATACCAACTTGAAAACATCTACAAGCAAAGCCTCAAAAAAATGATGAAGACTGGACACAAGCCCAACAAGAATTCCTAGAAGAGCTAAAGAAAGATTTACAAAGAACAAAAAAAGAAATTATTTTAAAAATCGAAGAATAATAGAGGAGAAATTGGGGAAAGACATGAGAGCAATGCAAGAAAATTATGAAAAGAGAATTGACAACTTGTTAAAAGAGGCACCAAAAAACTGGAGAAAATAACATTTTAAAAATTAGAATGGTTATGTGGAAGCTAATGACTCTAAGAGATATCAAGAAACAATAAAACAAAGTCAAAAGACTTAAAAAAAAATAGAATGTAGAAGCACTGGTTGCCTTGCTTGCTTACATTTATATTCCTAGTACTGAGAATAATGCCTGGCACATAATAAAGGCTTTATGAGAATTTTTATTACAGCACTTGTGAAGGATGAGTTAGGCACTGTGAATATTACCCTCATTCTGCAGATGAGGAACATTAAGTAGAAAGAGGTTTTAAGCAAATTGCCCAAACATCATTAAGTTTCCAATTCACATCTGAGCCTTCCACTAAGCCACACTGCACTACTGATTAGGAGTTTATCTAAAGCAAATGATATTTTAAATCTGCTGAGATTTTGATTATTAAACATGTATATTCCCCAAAAGGCAAACATTCGAATTTTTCACAGCTGAAATTTAGAGTATATATAGCTTATTTTTTTTTAAAAGATACAAATCCATTAATCACCATAAAGTACCATCAATGTCTATTCAAGGTCATTCCAGTATATCTTTTAATACTGTGATCAGATGTGGTCAGACTTTACATTTGGTTTACATACAGCCTGAGCCCTGAAACTGGGGACTGTTGCATTCTACCACTTTACAAAATTCCCTGGGAGCTAATTTATAAATCACAGAGCTACCACTAGATGGCACCCCTTAAAAGCACTGACTGTGGAAACCTGCTGCTCTAACAAGAAAATAACTTAGAACAGGCAAGAAACATCCCAATACAATAGCTTTAAAATGTACAAACACATCCCTCTGCTTGCTATAAACTGGGTACTTAACAGTGGCAGTACATTTAATTCTGGTGAAAACAATTCCCACTGGCACTAAAACTTCTGATATTCCCTTCACTCATGATTCATCTTTAATTGCCAACTAATCTTGGGCTCCTTAAGCTTTTTAACTGGACTAATTCCCTCTAATCCCGACCTCTTCCCACCACTTTCACTATTCCTTCTAAAACCCACATTGTATGGTTAAACTGCCCCTTCCCCCTCCAGCTCTTCCTTCTACACTGTTGACCACCTTTCTTCCTCCCTTGGCTTCCATGACTTCCTGGTTCACCCCCTGATTGGCTTGCCAGATGTCTGAATACTTCTCACTAGTTCTTTCTCCTTCTGCCCTCTAAGTGTGGTCTCCTTCATGTCTCTATACATTCTCTGGTGATGTCACCTGTTCCCAAATTTAGCTAGCTAAACTCCAATGTCTCATAAGATCATCTCTAACTTCTTGCTCAACTTTTTGACACTGCTGTCCCACTAACTCCTCAAAATTCACCAGGTGAAAACTAAACACCTCACCTTCCTTACCTCACCTTAAACATGGTCTTCCTTTTCTCACTTTCTCTATTCCTGTCGGCCATGCTTATAACCTTGAAGTCACCTTTGACTCTTGCCTCTCACACACATCAAACATGAGTGTTTGTCACATCCTTTCACTTTGGTCTCCAAGACATTTCTTGCATTGATTCTGGCTTCTTTACTCACACTGACTCCACCCTGATTCAGGTCCTTATAACACCTCAACCTTCTGCTCCCTGCTTCTGCACTGTGCTAAGTGCCTTAACAGTATTATCACATTTGAGCCTCACAACCCTGGGAGGTACCTGCTATTATTATCCTTATTTTGCAGATCAGGAAACTGAGGCAAACAGAGGTTAACTGATTTGCCCAAGGTCACAAAACTGGTGTCTGAGGCCACATATGAAGTCAGGTCTTCCTGACTCTAGGCCTAGCACTCTCATCCATGAGGTACCAAAGTTGAAAATTGAATGACTGCAAGGATGGTGGTCCTCAAAAGAAAGTTATATTTGGAAAGGGATGTAGGAAAATAACTAATTCTGTTTGGAACTTGTTGAGTTTGAGATGCCTACAGGACATCCAGTTTGAAAAGTGTGATTGGTAGAAGGGAAGAGTAAGATTGGATAGAAAGATCTGGGGGTTATTTCCATAAAGATAATTAGACTCAAGGGAACTAAGTGAGAGAATATGGAGCAAAGGTTATTAACCGAGGATCAAGGAACACAATTTTTTTAACATTCTGATAATTGTATTTCAGTATAATTGATTTCCTTTATAATTTCCTATATAAGTTTATTTTATTCATTTAAAAACACTTTTTTTTGAGAGGGTCAAAGGCTTTATCAGACTGTCACTGGGATCCATGACACAAAATTCTTAAGAATCCTTGATTCAAAGAAAGAAAAGGGCCCACAAAGCCCACAGTAAGAGTGTGATATGAATAATAAAACAAAAGGAAAGACTGAGAGAGAACCTTCAAACAGACAGAACTGACAGGGAACAAAGTGATGAAAACTCAGAGAAGGGAGAGAATCCAAGAGGAAAAAGGTGTTGAATGCTGAAGAAACATCCAGAAAGATGATGCCTGGAAAAGGCCAAGAGATGTGGTGATTAAGAAATATTGGCATCTTCAGAGAATGCAGTTTTACAGTAACTCTCACGCCGCAGTAGATTGTCCTCCTTTATGTCAGATCTCCAGATCCACACCAGGCTTTGTTCAATCCCTCAAAATCAGGGGCTTTGAACCTTTTCAACCTGTCTCTCTTTGGCAGTCTAATGAAGCCTATGGATCTCTTCTCAGAATAACTTTTAAATATAGAGGGTTACAAAGGAAACCAATTATACTGAAATACAATTTTCAAAATATTAAAAAGTCCAGGAACACCAGTTTTAAAACCCCTGATCTAAATGATTATCCGAGGTAATCTAAATTAGACATAACTGATTAAAATGAAACTATTACTGAGCAAACTACCTTTTTCCTACTTGGTTTTATATTCAGAGACAATTAAAGAGTATACACATAAAAAAAATCAGCTGAACATTTATATATATGCATATATACATAGGAATGTATGCATATACATACATATATATGCATATATACATAGGAATGTATGCATATACATACATATATATGTATGAAATAAAACTAATAGGGGAGGAAAAAATAAAAATCTATGTCTACCACAAGTTTTCAGTCTAGTTGAGGAGTTTTCCCCTGGCATTCTCCATTGGATTAACTCACAGATCCTCCAAATTTACCTCTTCTATTAGTGTGCCAAGGAGAAAAGACACCTAAGTGCTTGCCAGAAGTAGCACAAGAAGGTATTTCCTGAATTGGAGAAACTGCAGATTATAAAACTAACCTTGTTAATATACATGTTTTCCTTTGCAACTAGTATATTATACTCTTTTAAAATTCCTTTTCACGTACATACAAATACACAAAATCAGTATAATTATGTATTTGCCATCTTTCAGGGGCTAAGTGACCCTCAAGGACATGCACAATATTCCACTGTTTAATATTTAGCATTTTTAAATACTCATATAATAATATGGATTAATGATAACTTGCCTCACAAAAACAGTTTAAAACTAATGATATATACGTGAAAATATAAAGTAGTTTTAGTTGTCTTGACAATATTTTTAAAAATTTAATTTCCAATATGCATTTAGATATTGAAAGAAAGGATTATTTCTCTTATATTAATAATCAATTATCAAGATTAAGATTTTTCTTTTCTATTTCCTTATTCAAAGTCCAGTCTCTCAAGATTTCAGACCTGCCTAAAATTACCCCACCTTGACCATCTTACTAGGTGGAATTGTTAACTCATTCTACTAGAAAACCTTAAAAAGAAAATCTAATTTAGGTGAATTTCCACTCATTTCTACTCAGGCTTGAGCAGGGGATAGATCCCTTTGTCTAGACTGACTAAGGTGAGAGAAATC